TGATTGCGTTGAAAGTCCGACAACCATATCGGCACGCAATTATAATTTCTGAAAATTAATTCATTTAAAAATGAATTTAAAATAGTTCAACATCTTAACGTTCAGACCGTTATTGGCGCTTCTTAATGTATTTAAAACAATTTAAATTAAAAAAAGGATTTTAAAGCCTAAAATCTCTACTTTTGTAAGGTCACTATGTCTTTTGAGTTTCTGTGAGTTTTATATATAGAAAACTACAAGCTGGACGAAATGAGAAAATTCTTTCATTTTGTGGATCTGTCATGTGCCTAAAAAACTCGCAAAAATATTCGACTTTCTAAAGTAAAAGCTTAAAGTTTCTCTACAAAGTTGTTTTTGAAAATGTTGCTAAAATTTTTTGTTACTAAGTTATCGCGGATTAAATAAAAGGTAGCGTTTTGACTTTGATTACTCATAAACTTCGTTAAAAATTGTCGTACCGTAATTAAAAAAAAAGATTCTTTTATAGCTAAAATTTTGCCCTATTAAATGGTGTAATTGCCATTTTTTTAACATGTATATTTTTTTAACAAGGTATAAATAATGTAGCGCTACAAATTTTTATTCCAATCTAATATATTAAATATAACTAGAACAATAAATTATCTCTAAGATAATACACGTTATTTTATATGTATTACTTTTACAATAGTATTTAATTATTTATTAATAGCGTTTTCGGCCCGGCCGGGTTTGCACCAACCTGGGTTGAATTAATAGTGTTTTGTGCTCTCCTATTGGTAGAGCGTGTAACGTCAATCAATAGGAAAGATTAATCCAACCCAGGTTGGTGCAAATCCGATCGGGCTGAAAACGCTATAAGTAAAAGTTTGAAGTAGGCATATTATTTATTTCAATTAATTGTATATTAAACAAATTAATACTTCATTTTTACAGGTGTTGAACATTTTTTTTACACTTGTTGTAATTTATTTAGTAAGAATACATATTTATAAAACATGCATTGACTCAAGGTCTCATTTATTTTATGCATGTTTGGATGTTTTAAAGATTTTCGACCTTCTGAATCATTTCTGACCGATTATTTAACTGGACCGTGGAAAAATTTTACAGTTAGCGAAGTTAGTTCAGTGAAGCAATTAATTTAATGAATGCGCGTTTAATTTTTAAATAATATTTAAAACATTTATTTATCTTTCAGGTCAATCATGAGATCTATCCTGTAACTACGTATAGTTACTTATCGACGTTAATACTTATGTTCCTAATCACAGATTTCATTAGATACAAACCGATCATAATTCTCTCTGGTCTGTCTGGCATTACAACTTTTCTTCTGATAATATTTGGAGATATGGTACTTATTTTACAGATTGCAAAATTTTTTTTCGGTCTGTTTATGTCTGCTGAAGTGGCTTATTATACTTATATATATGCTCAAGTAGATAAAATGCACTACCAAGAGGTCACAAGTCACACTAAAGGAGCCTGTTTATTTGGACGCAGCATGTCTGGTATTATAGCTCAGTTAACAGCTTCCTTCGATTTGTTAAACTATCATCAACTCAATTATTTAACTCTTTCAGGTATATAAGTTAAATTTTAATTATAAAATTGTGTATTTAAATTTTTTATGTATTTATCATATATTTAAATATATTATATAAAATTTTACAAGTAATTAAATAAACTGTTTATAGACAATTATTCAATTAATTAAGAAAGAGAGAGTAGGAAAACTTTCTATTTAATTCTAAATAACATTTTATATACATTTTTTTTTAATATGACAGAATATAAAACATACTTTTATGTATATATTTTTATAGTTGTAGGTATGGGCGGAATAAAGGCCTAATTATCAAATCTGATTTTAATAAAAATTAAAATAACTTGCTACTTTTTTATTATACACAAACGGGTACAGTATCAAATGAATTTATGCAATATCTTTAAGAAACTACACGTTACAATACTTCTCTATTACAATCCCGTAATAGCACAGATCTCCAAGGGATGTTCCAAAGAACATTCAGAGGATATCCCTATGTCCTAGGACGTCCCAGAACGTCCCTTGAATAAAGTGTGCTATTAGGATCAATATTATATAAAAAAGCTAATTTTCTGAAAAAGGGCCTAAGTAGAGTTGTGCCTTTATTCCACCCATTCTCAATTACATCATATGTATAAATGTAACACAGTTACGGAATGTAATTTAATTTCTAGCCATTGGCATTGCGACAGTTTGGTCACTCTTCTTACCTCCTGTGGGCCAGTCAATCTATTTTCATCGCACTGATCGCGTTTCCGTTAAAAAAAGTTCAGTTACTATTGAACGTCACACAGCGATCAATCAGTCACAACAATTGAGTAATTCACGGAAATCGTACAAAGATAGCAAAACGAACTCAGATACATTGCTTTGTAAGATCAAGAACGCGTATGCATTGTTGTGGAAACATTTTGTGTTAGCTTACTCTAATTATCGTGTGATTAAATGGTCGGCCTGGTGGGCTTTATCTACTTGTGGATACCTTATGATTGCCACTTATTCACAATTGTTGTGGCAAACTGCAGTGAAGCCGGGCGATAGGATTTACAATGGGGCTGTGGATTTTGCATACGCCATTATAGGTAAGAGAAAAGCATTCTTAATGAAATCATGTGTCATTTAAATTTCATTAAATTGAAATATGAAACGAAGGACAAGCAGCATCTCAAAATGCAGTTGTTTGTGAACAAATAATCTTTTGTTTACATATAAGCAAAATATATTTTTATTTTAATCTTTATATACATACTATAATTTAAACATTTTATTGAAACATCTTGTCCAAATTATTTGCATAATTTGCTTAAAAATATTTTTATATAAAACAAATTTACAAATACTTATTAATTAAAAAATACAAATATATTATATGAGAACTATATTTAATATATTCAAATTGATGAGATTAGACACAAAATTAAATTCTTTTTATTTACTTCAAATTTCAGAATAAAATTTAAAACAAATTAAATAATAAAATGAAATAGCGCACGTAATATTAAAGGACTAATTTAATTAAATTATACATTAGATAAATTTATAAAGAATAATTTTTTACAAATTTTTTTTATCAGGTTCAATAAGCGTATTTTGTGTAGGAAGAATACGATTAAACTGGAATCTATTAGGAGACATAATGTGTTCTGTGTTTGCGTTTTTACAAGGCTCTATACTATTGATATCCTCTTACAGTTACAACATACAGATCTTATATGTCAGTTATGTCATATTTGGTGTAATTTATCATGTCATGGTTACTGTCGCAAGGTATTTCTCACATAATTAATACAATTAACAAACAATAGAAAATATATGATACAATTAATATTATAATAAGAGAGGATTATGATAAAAATTTAATTTAATTATAAACATATACAATTATATATGAAATATGTCCATACATGTTCGTACATCCCTTTTTTTCTAAAATTACTTTTTAATGTAATAAAAATAATAATAGTGATGTGAAAACATCAAAGATAATTAAAGGGATAATTATTCGTTTTAGAAAAAAAACAAGTTTGGAAAAATGTAAAGAAAATTGCTCACACATAATTATGCATAATTTTATTATATATAATTATACATAAGTAATTTTTTTACATTTCTTCAAACTTAATTTTTTCTAAAATAAATGGTGCGAAAATTATCCTTTTAATTATTTTTAATGTTTTCATATTGCTATCATTATTTCTATTATACTAAAAAGTAATTTCACAAAAGAAAGAAGGATATATGAACATGTATGGACATATTTCATATAAAATTATGTACGTTTATGAATATTTATACATGTTTATGTATGTTTATGCATAACACAGGTCAACAAGGTTTTGTTGTTGGGAAGCTGTGGGTTATTTCCGACGTAATTTTCTACGTAGAATCCGAATCTGAAATCAGAATTGGCCTATCACGTCAGGATTTTGAGATATTTGAGGATATATACTCGAAAAATGCGTTTTTTTGCTATTTTCGAAGTTATGATCATTAGAGTTTTCCACGTCTAGTGAAGAAAGAAAAACCGATATTTGTCAATAAACAAACAACTTATTATTTTTTTTATACACACCTGCAAAATATCCTTTTTTATGCATTCAGGTGCTTCGTTTATCGAGCGAATTTCGAGCATCCTAAAACTTTCAGCGAGAAAGTTGTTCATTCGGATATGAACAAATGTTCTGGAAAGTTTCATTTTCATTGCATTAATAAGTTTAAAACTAATGATTTGTTTAAAGTTGGTAGACGCCTTGCACTCAGAGCCGCAGCGCACAAGACGCGCTGTCCGTTATTCAAGGTCCTAATATATAAACAGTCACAATTGTGACTGTTTGCTGTCTTAACAATGGCCCCGCGTAAGTGTTTAAATGATCCTAACAGTTTTTGTTATATTTGTGGTCGTTTCACGTTTGTTAAGAACAGGATAAAGCTTGAAGATAATGTGAAATCATTTTACCGCAATTACTTCAACATTTCGATATCCAATCAAGATAAGTCTTGGGCTCCACACGTAGCTTGTAAATCATGTGTTGAGTCATTAA